AGGCCTTTCTTCTTCATCTGTGTTTGTCTGGAAGCTCCCCTGAAGGCTGGTCAGCATCCCAGCAGCATGCAGTGGCAGATGGGCAGAGGCTGCTCCTGAGGACCAGGGCTGGGAACCAGATGCAGGACTCCACAGCCCGGAGGGGGAGAAGTCTACCACTGAGCCATCACGGCTCCTTTTCCTGACACACAGGATGTGCTAAGAACTTGCGATAAAATAAGTCCCGTGCAGCGTCCATTAGTTCATTTTGATAGGTTCCCACATTGGTTTGGCTAACTGCCCCCGTTTCAGAAAGAAAGAAAAAAAATTACCCCCTGGCATTTAAAAACTTTTGTACTGTAGCCCATCATCTAGGATAAAGTGTTTAAGTTCAAGTTCACTGCTACCAAATCCATGCTAACTCCTCATAGCAATCCTATAGGTCAGGGCAGAACTGCCCCAGGGGGTTTCCAAGACGAATTCTTTTTTTTTCTCCCAACAGTTTTATTGGCATATGAATCACATATCGCATAGTTCAGTGGTTTGATCACATCAAGAATAATTGTACATCCATCACATCTGTTTTAGAATATTTTCTTCATTCTTGCACTCATTGTTATTAGGCGACTGTAACTCTTTATGGGAGTAGAAAGCTTCATCTTTCTCCCTTGAAGAGGCTGTTGGACTCAAACTGCTGACCTTGTGGATATGACACTAGGCCCCCTGGATACAGTGTTTGCTTGTGCAGCTCCCAGGGAGTAGTCCTGCCCACTAGGGAAATAATCTCCAGGACTTTTGTGTCTGTTAACTGATGGGTACTCTTCTGACCTCACACCCCTTTTCAGGCTATAGCCCAAGTCCCAGGGGTCCTGTCCCCTTCATTCCAGGAATGACTCCCTCATTACCCACCGGGCAACATCAAGATTCACAAGTTGCTTTTTTTTAAAAAAACACACAAAAACTTCCCAATGTTGACATCAGACATGTGACTCCAGCTTGAGCATTCTTAAAATAATCACATCGCCAATTGATTCAGCAGCCTTTAATCACACACACACACACACACACACACACACACACACACACACACACACACACGGATAACCCCCTCAAACTGGAATTGTGCTTGGATAAGTGGAGCTTTAGTAGTATGCATTTTTTCCGCTTCTAGGCAAGCATTGAGCAATTCACTCTGAGTTAGTGCACCCAGTGGCATCACCTGGGAAGGTTCTCTCTGGTCACAATTAATTTTTTCATAAAAGCAATTATACTTGATTCTCATTTTTTTTGTGTGATGGAGATTTAAGGGATTAGTGTGTGAGTGAAATTTTGTTTACTGCTCTGGAAAAATGCTGCAGAAACACAGCTTACAAGGACAGAGCTATGGGAAAAACAAGTGTACAAGTGGTTTTCTCATTTCAAAAATGTGAAATGTCGATTGATGACAAACTTCATTCTGGACCTCTGTCAACTTCCTGAACAGACTAAAATGTTGACTCAGTGCATTTGGAGTTCTTTCCAGCAGGTCACACTGTTAATCAGGCTATTTAGAGGTCCTGAAAAGATTGTGTAACAGTGTTTGACAAAAAAGGCCTTTGTGGCAGACAGGGGACTGATTTTGCCACCACAACAATGCACCTGGTCACGCAGCCATGTCAATGCACCAGTTTTTAGCAAAAAGCAGTACGCTTCTCTTGCCCCACGCACCTGACTCACCTGACCTCACTCCATGTGACTTCTTTCTGTTTCTGTGAATGCAGGGGGACATGAAAGGACAGCAATTTGAGGACATAGAAGAGGTGAAGAAAAAAACGAGGGAGGTGCTGTCAGCCATCCAAACAGAGGAGTTTAAAAAATGTTTCCAAGAATGGAATGGCAGAGTTGATAGATGTAACGGAGAGTACTTTGAAGGTGATAAAGTTGATTTGTTAAAAAAAACCCCAAAAACATAGCTTTGAAAAAAATCCTTTTTTTTTTGATACCCCATAAAGGTATAAAACCTTTAATTCCACATCTATCTAGATGTAATAAGTAAGGCATAGCCACTATGGCGCCAGCACTCTATGCATACATACATAGATGGAGCCCTGGTGTTAGAGTGGTTATGTGCTGACCTGCTCACTGCCAGGTTCGCAGGCAGAACCCACCAGCCGATTCCCAGAACTGAAGTCTTGGAAACTCGCAGAGGCAGTTTTACCTAGTCCTGTAGGGACGCTGTGAGTCAGCATCGGCTTGATGGCGGTGAGATACATGTCCTGTTTGCCAGGCATAGCTATGGTTTTTAACTTCACTCCCCCCACTCCTAAATGTCTCTTTGCAGATCGTAATTTCCTTGGTAAACTGCCATTCATCCAGTGGTGAGAATCTGAACTCACATTAGAAATGTCCATGGTAAGCTCAGCTCTGTTTTCTTGGCACTAAAAATCTCATCTCTCTTGGCAAAAATACCCCCCAACACATCCATTTTACATTTGTACGGTGTTTGGTTGTTCTCCTTAAAAACAAAGTTGGGCTGGCAAGTTTTTCCTCTGCACACTTCTCTAATCAATTCTAATTATAAGTTTATGCAAGAGAAAACACACTGGGATTCCACCCAATGATTTGGTTTCCACTAATAAGGATGAAGTCCGTGAAACTCAATTACTGTTTTGTTTTCCTAGTTAACCGGAGCCGGCTTTCGGGCAGTGATTTATTCCCCATGACACTGGGTGGCGTGAGGCCAGAACTTCAGAGCTAAGCCCTCCTTGGCAGTGGCCCAAAGCTGGGAAGTGGCAAGAGTCATTTAGCAAAGCGTCGTTCACGGGCAGAGCCCATTAAATAATTAAAAACCCTCTCTCTGCCTCTCCAGCGCCAGCAGGGCACCCTTCAATCCCAACTGCCTTTCCAACTCTGCCAATCTAGAGTTCTCTGGAGCCATACAACTATGCTGTGGAGAATTTTACTCGGCAAGTTTGAACCTTGCCCGACCCCAAATTCTTCTTTAACCGGAGCCTCGGCATCTCACAACGAGCAAGGCAAAAGCCTTCCCAGGGTTTGAGAGTGAAGCGTGGTTCGGGAACATTTCCTGTCATCTCACAGCAGCGTGTGCTCTTTTAAAGCCAGGGGCGTTGTTCCAGGTTCTCAGGAAAATGGGCAATGGTGCATTGTGCGCCCAAGGTACTGGGACAAAGAGAATCACCGTCATCTCATTTCTTGTGATTTATATATTTTGATTAGCACTTTCAGTGACTATGGGGAGGCTTGCCTCTCAGACTTCCAAATAACTTATCAAGTGCACAAAAGCGGCGTTCTGTTTAAAATGATGCTGCCCACGTAGAATCACCCTGTTTCTCGCCAGGGAGAGCCGACGGGGTTTCTGACAGCCTACCTGGTGCTAAGCTGCGTCTTAGAGGGAAGGACTGCAGACCGCCCTTGTCGCTGTGTATCCATCACAAGGTAAAAAGACACCCTCTGCTCCTTCCTTCCCTGTTCAAAGCGAGTCTCCCCGGCTGTCTGCCAGGCTAAGCATCAACGTACATCGCTGGAGGAGGCGGGTGCCACTAGCAGAAGGTTTCGACACGAAGTCCAGCTTTCAGCAGCCAGACATGTCAGGGAAAAGTCCCACGTTCATCTGTCTGTTTCCTCCTCGTTGCCAAGTTATGCCTTCACCATATAAGTATTCCCACGAAGGAGTCGCCTCCAATGACGTCTGAGATGAAAAGGCACAGCCATTTGAGAGGAAGCACTGAGCAGGCTAGCAAAATCATTCAAAGACCCTAACTTGAAACCTAACCTGTGACGAGGAGGCACCTGGGAGCAGGGCCTGCTAATCCGCTGTAACAGGAACGGTCTCCATCTGCGAACCTCACACGGGCACACGGAGCTGAGAGGGCTGCAGAGAGCAGCAGCAGCCAAGCTAACCGGGGCAGAACGGCAGCGGTCTCTCTCAATTCTAGGGGTCTGCAGTTTTCACAGCCAGTGGAGGACAAGGGCCAGGGGCGCTGACTCCACTTGCGTGCAGAGTGGTCTACAAAACAGAGGTCGGTGAAGATGCCATTGGGCCAAGAAGCGAACTGGACTTCCCGAGTTCTCACTAGGAAATACCGTTGGAAATCATCGGACTTGGCCATCTGGGAGTTCTGGCAGCACATGAATGACGAGTCAGCCCAGTCTCTCTGTGGCAGAAAGATGAGGCTTTTACTTCTGTGGAGTCACAGTTTCCGAACCTCACAGGGGCAGTTCTGCCCCGTCCTATCGGGTTGCTGAGTCAGAACTGACCCAGTTGCAGTGAGTTTTTTGTATGTTGTCCTTCCAAATCTGGGACCAGAAGTGTTATCAGCATCTGACAAGAGATTTCTTCTCTCTGCACTCCTCCCAGAAGGCCTCGTCCCCATCACGTATCGTGAAGAATCTCACTGCCATTGAGTCAGTGCTGACTCATAGCTAGCTCCCCTGTGGATCTCTGACACTGTCACTGTTTAGTGGAGTAGAAAGCCCAGGAGCTACTGGCAGTTTCAAACTGCTGACCATGGGGATCACAGCCCAACATGTAACCACTGCACCACCAGGGCTCTTGAAGGATGCATAGGCTAATTTTTTATATCAACTCTTAGAAGAAGCTCACAGAAGATTCCCTTTGGTGGCTGGGGCATGTGTGAAGACACCAGGGTATGCAAAAGTGGCCACTCGCCCTCTCTGGAACACTCATCCAATCCTTAACATGCAGGTGATATCTGGGGACGGAGTGGGCAAAGCCACTGCAACCAGCTGCCACTCAGTTGACACTGATGGGTGGGACCCCAATGCGTGTCAGAGCGGGATTGCAAAGGAGCATTCAGATTGTGGCCTCCAGGGTCACTGTGAGTCAGCATGGACTTGATGGCAGTGAGTTTGTGCTTTCTTCCAAGTTACCTCTGGGTGGATTCGAACCACCGACCTTCGAGTGGTAGCCATGGGCTTAATCGTGCCCACCCAGGATGAGCCAGCAAAGCAGATGGTGGAAACACACACAGGAGCACAAATGACACGGCAGCCAGAGGAAGTTCTCGGCACGTTAGCCCTTTCAGCGGGATTTTATTACGTAGATGTCCAACCCATCCCCAAAGCAAAGAGGAGACCATTGATCGTGGTGGACAACCAAGGCAGGCGGGATAGGGGCTTTGAACCCTCTCCAGCTCATAGAAGGCTGGCGACGCCATGTGAAGGCGAACACTTTTCTTTGGCAAGGGCCTCACGCAGTTCTAGCACGGGGTCTCTCCAAACGAGGATCCCATTGGACACAGGGGTCGCCACCAAATACTGAACCCGCCAAAGGGAAGAAGCGTGGCAGTCAACTGTTAAGCAGGTTTGTTAATGCTCATTATTCAGGCCTAGGCCTAGGCCTAGGGGCCTAGGGGGTTCTGCAAATGCAAAGCCGTGGCTTTAAATCTGGGATGAGAGTTGAAGGGTCTCTCTGTTTTGTTCAATGCCCTCTCCTTCCTTCCCCGAAGTTGGTCAGAAACATGGGCCTTCAACCATTCCCCCAATAGGGCCAGAAGCATGGACCTCCAGGGCAGCTCTGGGGGGAAAAAACCAAACCAATCACCAAACTGTGATTGAAAGCAGCCAGGGAGTTGATTGTGGCTCATGGCGACCCCATGTGTTGCAGAGTAGAACTGCACCATCGGACCCAGGCTGTGCCCTTCAGGAAGTGGATCGCTGAGCCTTTCCTTCTAGGGCCTCAGGGTGAGCTCCAACACTAACCCTCTGGCTAGCAGTCAAGAGCTTAACCATGTGAGCCACACAGGGACTCCACAACCCACCGAGTGAAATGCAACTTGTTACTCTCCTGAAGACACTGCTTTGACTTGACGAAGAGTCAGCACGCGTGGCGATGGCAGACTGTTTCTATGTGGATGCATGGTTCAGCACCTGTGGCAATGTCTCGCCTGCTGGCAGGAGGGTTCGTTTAGGTGAGGACAGTGGGTACAACGAGGCTGTTGCACCCCACCCAGGCACAGTGTGCTGGGCAAAGTCTCAACAGAGGTAGGTTTTTAGTTTTACATCAATGACACTCAACACTATTGGGCACAGAAGGAAAGCTTCCTGCTCGGTCTACCTTGATGGGTAAAGGTGCCAGAAGAGGCTGTTGAGCACGCTCAGCTCCCAGTCAGCACAGCGAGAGAGGTGCCTACAAAAGGGCTGCTGTTGCATTTCCAGCTCCACAGGGGCCAGTACCTCGGCTCCTTCTCCTGCCAGTATCTACTACAAGCCTTCTCCTCCCCACAGTGACCCAGGGCTAGATCTGGAGCCAATATGTCCTTAATTGCAATGACTATAAAAGGCTTCCCATACCCCAAGCGAGGCTACAAACGATCCGTACTTTCTCCAAAGGTAGGAGAAGAGAAGAGAGGCACGCAGCTAGATGTTTGGGCATGACCAATCACGTGGAGCCCCAGGTCCAACGGACTCTGTTGCGGTTCAGAAAGAGGTGGGGTTTGGGATTGGTTTTGCTTGTTTGTTTCTGTTTCTTTATTTTTCTTGGGAGTCAGGGAGAAGGAGAAAGCTTTCAAATCACGAATCAGAATACAGTGGATCTGGAAGGCATCTGGGAGCAGAGAGTGACTTAAGACTTGTGGGTCCTGGAGGCAGCGGGGGGCCTCGGAGCCCTGCCTCCTGCACTTCGGCCATCATTCTCGCTGCCGCTGAGTTCAAGGTCACCCCAGTTCATTTCCAGCGATGGCGCACAAGAGAGGACTCATCGTTGACGACCTCCGGGTGGCGGGGCTGATGCCGACACCGGAACGGAAGTAGCAACAGGGCGATTAAGATCAGAAGGATGATCCCACACATGCTCATGAGCGAATAGGAGACAATCCAGAGGATGGGCTGGTTCAGAGGGAGGGTGGGGACACAGCTGCTGGCTATGTCCTCTGTTGAGAAAGGCCCAGAAATTTCAGACACCGGAGCACCTGCAATTTCTGAGGAGACAAAAGGGGAGAGATCCACAGCTGTGAAATGAGCCTTCTTCTTGACAAGAGGCAACCTCTTGCTTTAAGACACCACGGCCTAATTGGACTCTGGTTCCGATGATTCCAGGATAGGGGCTCGCGGGGCCGCGGGAGAGGGGACCAGGCAGGGGGCTGCAGGGCATTTTAAGGTCTGTGGTATGTGAACCCCGTGATGGACAGCGACACACAGAGGGCAGCAGCCAGAGGCCACAGGAAGTGAGCGCAGTGGGGCCAACAGGGGCAGCCTGTGTGGGTGGTGCTTCTTCCGAGGAGACTGGATTATGGGGAGTAGAGAGCGCTACTGCAGAAAGCTCAGGCAGACCTGCCTGAACCGCAGATGCTGTCCCCCTGGGATCATTCTGAACCCGTGCTCCTGGGCCAGTTCTACAGCAGACAGAGCAGACAGGGCACACAGGGCTTTGTGGGACAGAGCCACACTCTGGAGGGGTTTCCAGACTGAAGCAGGCAAACCTGCCGCTCCACCTTCTGGTCCTGTGCCACACCTACCTTTTACCTGGACCCAGAATGAGGAGTGGTAAATAAGTACACCATCTCATCAAGGGCTGAATTGTGAACCCCCGGCCCCGCTAAAAGACATTGGAGAATCCTGACTCCTGCCCCATGGTTGAGATTCTGTTTGGGACCAGGGTTTCCTGGCCATCTGGGACTGGGCAAGGAGTGGTAAGCATTGAGTTGCTATCCAAAAGATCGGGGCTTTGAGCCGGTTGCTCTGCAGGAGAAGGATGCGGTTGTCTGCTTCTGTAAAGGCTTGTATCCCTGGAAATGCTACAGAGCACTTCCAGTAAGTCCTAGAGGGTCACTATGAGCTGTAATCAACTCAATGGCAGTGGGGCTCTGAGAATTAATGGGGGCCAAGTTGGTGTTGGTGTGTCCTGAACCCAATCACTTCCGAGTTACAAGTAGCAGCAAGGACACAGAGACAAGCAAACACAACAGGGGGACGGCAGACACCATCTGATGATGGAGGCAGAAGAAGCTACGAGGCCACGAACTCCAATAGCTGCCAGCTACCAGGAGCTGAACTGGATACAAAGGCCCTCCCCGTTGAGCCCTGATCTGCATTCAGACTGCGGTTTCCAGAACTGGGAGAGAGTACATTTCTGTTCTTTAAAGGTCCCTATTTGTGGTGTTTCTGTTCTACTGGCACTAGGAAACTAAGATACCGCCTGATGCTTCTAAATGTTTGTGGGTAATGCCATTATATTTAAAGTTCATTTTTCTATAAACTTTTTGAAGTTTTCTTTTAACTGGTGACAAAGAAAGGTACCGAAGTCATGTGACAGTGTTTGCTAGGTGATTCTTGGATAAAGCTCTAACCAGGGAGACAGTTGAGATTATTTCTTACAGCAAGTGTCATGGACAGCTTGGCTAGGCGATGAGTCTAAGTGCTTTGGCAAATGCTGGCTGGTTGCTTTCCATAATGCAATATGGAATTATAATTATCCTTCATTTTCTGAAGTAAGTGGCCAATCAATTGAAAAGTGAGTCTGTTGAAAGCCAACCAGTTTCCTTGGGATGTGTTGCCTGTATTCAAGTATATATATATATTCTGACAAAACTCTCAAACCAGCTTCCAACTAAGTCATCCTTTGACTAGTTGCTGGGATGTCAGCCAGCAGCCTGCTGTCAGAACGGTAGGTGTTGGGATTCCCCAGCTCCCACAGCTTTGTGGGCTAGCAGCTACTGTCTGCCCTGCTGATTTGGGGTTCATAAAGCAGAAGAAGCCACCAGCCTGATACCTGACCCATGGATTGGGATTTGTCAGCTTTCACTACACTACACACACACACACACACACACACACACACACACACACACTTTGGAGACTCTGGGAAGTTGTTAGCACCTAGAGAAGCTAAAGCAAATGCAAGAAATGATAAAGTCAAAGTGCTAAATCGAGTATTTCAAAGAGCAGCACAAAGTAATGCATTATAGTGATCTATGAAAAGACTTGAAATTTTTAAAATGAAAGAAAGAAAAGGGAAGAGCATATCAGCATTTGTCAAGTCGAAAGACCTGCAGGAAAAAAATTCAAGCCTGAGTTGAAATATTGAAGAATTTTTCTGTGCGAAGATTGAATGAGAGAGGAAACATCAGAGAAAGATGGAAGGATTAGAGTGAGTCACTGTACCAAAAAGCACTGGTTGATGTGCCATCCTTTCAGGAGGTAGCCTAGGAGCAAGAGCTGATGGATGCTGAAGAAAGATGCAGCATTGAACGCGTTGGTGGAAAGCAGGGCTTCAGGATTGACTGAATACCAGTAGAAATGCTTCAACAAACAGAAGTAGTGCTGGAGGTACCTGCTTGTCTTTGCCAAGAAATTTGAAAGGCAGCTACGTGGCCAACGGGTTGGAAGAGATTCCTATTTGTGCCCAATCCACAGAAAAGTTACCCAACAGAATGTGGAAATTATTTACCAATATTGTTATCATCACATCCAAGTCACATTTTGCTGAAGATAATTTTTAAAAAATGGTTGCAGCAATACAGCTACAGGGACTTGCTGGAAATTCAAGACTGACTCTGAAGAAGTTACAAACTGACAGTTAACATTGCTGACCTCAGATGGGTCTTTCCAGAAAGAAGGGACTATTAGAAAGATGTTTACCTGTGCTCTACAGACCATGCAAAAGCATTCAGCAATGTGGGTAATCAACAAGTATAGATAACATTATAAGGAATGGAAATTACAAAACTCTTGATTGTGCTCACATGGAATCTGGACATAAACCGAGAGGCAGTCATTTGAACAGAACAAAGATATTGCGTGGTTCTAAATAAAGAAGAATGTGTGTCAGGGATGTATCCTTTCACCACACCAGTTTAATCTGTATACTGAACAAATCATGTGAGAAGCTGAATTATAGGAAGAAGAATGTGGCCTCCCAATTAGCAGAAGGCTCATGAACAACTGGCAATATGCAGATGACACAACCTCGCTTGCTGAAAGTGAGGAGAACTTGAAGTCCTTACTGATGCCGATCAAAGGCTACAACCTTCGTTATGGATTCCACTTCAATGTCAAGAGAACAAAACCCTGCACAATTAGACCCATACGCAATATCACAATGAACAGAGAAGAGGATGGAGTGATTAAGGAGTTCATTTTACTTAGAACCATAATCCATACCTCTGGAAGCAGCAGTCAAAAAAAGCAAGTGAATGGATGCCTTTGAATTATGGCATGGGTGAAGACTATTCATAGATCACGAACTGCCAAAAGACGAACACATCTATCTTGGAAGAAACACGGCCAGAAGGCTCCTGGGAATTGAAGATGGCAAGACTTTGACTCAGGTACTTCGAACTTGTTGTCAGGAGGGACCAGCCTCTGGAGAATGACAGCAACCTTGGTGAAGCAAGGGGCAAAGACAAGAAGACCCTCAATGCAATGGATGGGCACAGTCGCCGCAACCATGGGCTCCGGCACGTTCGTGACGATGAGCGCGCGGCAGTGTTTCGTTCCGTGGCACTGGGCTGACGACGAGTCGGAATGGATGCCTGTGTCAGACGGCAGCTAACACAACAATCTATGCAGTTGCTGGTTTTGCTTCTTGAGATTGTCTTCATCTTCCTGACACTTCGCTGCTCGTTTTAGAAGCTCAGAATTTGTTGAGTGCCTTAAGCTTTATTTGGGGAAAAAGAAAAGGAAAAGACCTTGCTGCCCATTTTGCCTATCTTAAATTGCAGACATGAATATTTCAGCACCAGAAAATAATGTCCTTAAGCGTGTCATTCTTGTCTTTTATCTAATGCAGTAGTATCCCGTGAAGCCTGCCAAATAAGAGCCTTATTGCCCCTCTCTTTTTAAGTGGAAGGAAGAAAAAGTCCAAATGACAGTGGAATAGTGGCCTTAAAAAAGACGGTTCTAAAATGAGTGGTGGGGTGGGGTGGGGTGGGGGGAAGGCTAGAACATTTTGCAAGGAGGATACATTTCTGGCTAATATGGATCCCGCGATCATGGCCTTTTCTAAGAGCACAGGAGAAGAAAGGTAATGAATAAGTGGCTTTTCCTAAGAGCACAGGAGGAAAAAGGCAATGAACTAACTGTAGCTGCAAATGCCCAAGTACCCAGAGATGCTGGCCTTTGGCTGAACTAGGTCCAAAGCAGCTACAGCAGGGTCAGCAAACTATATCCCTTGGGCCAGGCTAGACCGCCTCCTCTTTTGACAATTAACTGTTATTGACACAGGTTCTTTTAAGAGAAAGGCCAGGCCCGAGGCAAACGTCTTGGTACTCTGGGATGCTGCTGGCCTCTGCTGATGTGGGCCACAAGCCCCGAGTGTCGAACGCTGGGTTCTCAAACAACATCCCTCTGACCAGTCTGGCCTTGCCTCCTTGTGCTGCAAATAAAAATGTACTGTACAAAAGCATGGAGCCCTGGTGGTGTCCTGGTCACACGCTGGGGCACTAACCACAAGGTCCACAGGTTTGAAACCACCAACCAGGAGACAGTGAAGCTTTGTACTTTATACTTCCGTACAGTTACAGTGTCAGAAACCCACAGGACAGTTCGATCCTCTTCTGTAGAGTCACTATTTGTTGGAATCAACTTGATGAGGACCCAGTCCTATTCATTCATTTATTTTTTCCAATGGCTACATTTATACTGTAAATACAAACAATCATGAAAGAAACAATGTGGTCCAGCAAGACTATAGTATTTACTACTGGGCCTTTCACAGAGAAAGTTTGCGGCCTCTGGTCTAGAGCATGCAAATACAACTATTTAACAAAGATTTTAAATAATAAGCAAATGTCCTCTTAGAAAATTCAAAAATATAGATAAAATAAAACCAGGGCAATAAACCACTCATCAATTTGCTCCTTGGAAACTACCAATATCAATATTTTATGTAGTGTAGCCTTTTTCTCTGCATCTTGGTTTATTAAAATCGTGTCATGCTGCCTGTTTTGTAAACTACATTGTAACTTGACATATGATAAAA